CCCCCCCCCCCCCCCCCCCCCCCCCCCCCCCCTCCCTTCCCTGATCAGTTGCCAGCAGTTTAGCCGAGTGCGCTTTTCGTTGCATTGCTTGTTGTAGTGAAATGCAGATTTTTGACTGTCATTAAAACTGGCATATTATCCTTCTCAGTGCATGCAAGAGTCTATGGAGCAGTCGGCAGTGCATTTTTGGGGTCTCAGAACTGATTTTCATGACCGGTCCTGAGGTCGATTTTTCCCCGCACAACGTAGTTATAAATTTACGGCGATTTTCGGTATGCCCGTGGAGCATGATTGCACCAGTCAGTGTGGCTTTGGGGAGATAGGGAATCCGCAGTTGATTCAAAATTACGCTGTTGACACTATCAAGAAATTCCAGCCGTATGGTACCCGTAGTCGATGCCTAATTCCGTGGCGGATACTCCTCGCAAGTGCTCGATTTGCTGCCGTTATTCAGATAGAATTCGGAATTCGCAACGCATATTTCTACAAAAATCACCGCGCTGGTGCTCCTCATACGACTGTCACTACGGGTATTCCAGTCTTCGGGTTATGAGGAAGAAAATATATCAAAGTCGTGCTGGAAGCAGTCTGATATCGAAATAAATTGGCAATAGCAATGACCTTGAACTGACGATCGTTCTTTTTTTTTCTTTTTTTATAAATCGAAGCGGCGAGAGTGCGTTCAGCGTCTGAGCACATTCCGCTGCTCATATGCTTTTAATGTGTAAAAGCTAAATTGAAAGGAAATGAAGTGTTGCCTATGAGATTGGCACTGTCACCCACAGTTTCCATCATCGCCATCTGCTTTATCACCATCGTCATCAGTACCGCTGCTCTTCCGCATATTGATTATTGATGCCAGATTCTTTCTAGACCAAGCTGAAAAAGAGGGAGCGATGGCGGACCTGGATTTGGGCGAAGAATTGGTTTCCCTCCCTGCTTCATATCATCATCCCTCACCCCTGTTTTATGAAATTCAGATCAATTCAGTATAGCGCAGACAGGCCTATAAGCAATGCATCGTGTGTTTCGATCCGACTTTGAAAGCATGTTTGGACAAAGGGCAGACTGGGGGAAGTGGAGGCAAGCAGTGGGGAGGGGGGAGGGGGTGGAAGGAGGGGGAAAGGGGATAGGGAGAAGAAGGGGGAGCAGGGTAGGAGGGCTATATTTTTTTCCAAGCACTAGTTCTGAAAATCAATTTTCCAAAACTAAATTTTTCGCGCTGACAGGTATGGGGTAGTGAAAAGCAGCGCTTTTCTCATACTGAAGATGGAGAGTTCAACCCCGTCGGTGGGACTATCAACCCCGTCGGTGGGACCTATACAATTT